TTTTCACCTATTTATGACTGATGTATTTTTCTCGGCCGCCATCTTGGATCCGCCATTTTGAAATGGGATAAATTATTTTAAATATGAAGGGTGTGTTGTGACCCATCATTTTGAACTACTTTTTTAAGCTAAACTCAATGCCGCAATCCATTTTTTGTTATCAAGTTTTATTTATGAAACATTGCAATATTTTTGTTAAAAATGTTAATATTTCAAAATCAAAATATGAAAATGAAAAATGGACCATGGAATTGAGTTCAGCTTAAAAAAGTAATCCGAAATGATGGGTCACAACACCCCTTTTATATTTAAAATAATTTATCACATTTCAAAATGGCGGATCCAAGATGGCGGCCGAAAAAAATACATCATTCATAACCAAGTGGAAATAGGTTGGCAATGACTGGTAGTGTATACTTATCTTTATCTAGCACTATTTTGAGATTATGGTATATTTCGCTAAAACGAACCAAAACGGAGATATAGGCGAAAATCTCTAGAAAGTACAGATTTTATCGATTTTTCAATATGGCGGCGGGCGCGGAGGGTGATCTCGTAAAATAGTGAAATTATTTTTCGTATGCACTAATAGAGCAAGGTTTGTACTAAAAGAGAACCTTCTTTTAGTTTAAAAAATACATGTTTCACAGGAAACATTTTTAACCATTGTAGTAACACCATTATAGCTTAAAAAGTTGATAAGTGATAGTTTACATAATATTTAGCACATTTGACGGATAAACATTTTTTGAATTCGTCATATTATAAGTGTATGAAGAAAATTCATATATCTGTGTATCAATATCTACTTATCTCATTTCTGTTCAATGGAAGTTATACAATTTCAATGATACCGGTACTTAAATGGGAAGTCTTACAGCTGTTATAAAACTGTGCATACATTTTATCTTACGAGTAAATTTGCTACCAAGTGATATAGTATGACAATTCTATTCTACTGCAGTACTTAGAATTCTACCACTACTCACATTAAACCTACCATTTTGGGCTAGTGATTTATGTATTGTATTAATCATACAATATAGTGAATAGTGTAGTCATCTATTTATTTCGTTTCTATGACATAGCTCTATTTTGTAGAAATCAATTATGCAATCATAACAACAGAAATACTGCATCACTACATTTTACGGTGACATAGTATCTATTTTACATATACAAATTTAAGCTAATACAATAATTAGTTCAATTAGAATCATTGAATATTGAATAATTTAAACATTAATCGATGACGAAGCTGTTGACAACTTTCAAACAGTTGACTAGGCCTAGTTGCCTTCAATAATTGCAATACGAACTGTATGCACTGAGGTCGGCAAACAGTGTTCACAGTGTGCAGGGACTTTGGACGTCGTGGCACTTGGACGTCGTGCAACAGTCAAATATTGATTGGACGTCGTGGCACTTGGACGTCGTGCAACTGGCAGAGGCTTTGGACGTGGTGCAAATGATACTTCTTTACAATCCTACAGTGCGCTGTTTCACGACGTCCAAGTGCCATGACGTCCAAAGCTTGTAAAAAGACTATATTTTTGGCAGTTACTGTACTTTTGGACGTCGTGGCACTTGGACGTCGTGCAACAACTCAAAAATGATGTTTTGGACGTCGTGGCACTGGAAAAATATTATTGGACGTCGTGGCACTTGGACGTCGTGCAACATTCCCCTCGCTGAAGGAGTTCTTTGAAGACCCTCTATTAGGCCTAGGCTGAAGTATGCCTGTCCACAGCCTCAGTTTTAATTGTATATATGTGTAAATAAGTGATTTTATATTTTTAATGACGCCATCAATCCCCCATGGGGTAAAAGATGAAGAATCGGTAATAAGGTAATAATAAGGTAGTAAGGGAACGAAGCTCTCCCGATCGTAACACCACCGCGCCTTCCCCCACCACCGCGCCAAACGCTTCTGTTGTCGTCTGTCTGGAAACGGGACAGCGGGATTTGAAATGGGAACAACAGAACGATTTCTTCTAATCACCGAGCATTCTTTAATAAATGCTGATAGGAACGAAGTAGACTAGCCTTTTAATGTTAAATAGGTCTAAATAATGTGTAATTAATTAAGAATTATTTCTAGAATAATTATTAAAAATTACTACTAGAACAATTATTTAAAAAATTCTAATACGTAGCCTATATAAGACAAAATAAACATTAATTAAATTGATATCTTAACTATATTACTTGTTATTTCAATTCTTTAAATAACAGAAAATAGGAAGAAAAGTGTATAAAAATGCTATATTAAATTTAGAGGTTGGCCTATATAGAGCCATGAGCATTTTATAAATAGTAGGCCAACATACCTTATGTTAATGAATGAAGTTCTTCAAATCTATTTCTTCTAATCCAAAATGTAGGTAGGTACTAATAATACATTCATTTATTTACATTTACATTTATTTACATTAGGGGCTACATTATCTACAATATTTACATCCGCCTTCATCTTGGAAACTGGAACAACAAAATTAACATTACAATCTGGCTATTTCAAATGAGAAAATATCTTAACGTGAATCTTGTATAGGCCTATTATGTTTATTTTTGTTTGTTTGTCACAAAGTTGCTTAGCATGGGGAATGTTGTAGGTACAGCAGGCCTATACTAATAATATTTAAATTTATTGACATCCATTTACAATCTCTTTGATCTTGGAAACTGAAACAACAAAATTAACATAACAATTTAGCTATTTCGAATGAGGAAATATCTTGGTGTGAATTTTGTATGGGCCTATTTTGTTTATTTTTAACAAAGTTACTAAGCATGGGATACGTTTGTGGGTACTGGTAACTATTAATATATCTGGGGGTATCTGTTTGTGTGTGCTCAAGTTCAAAAACTTTTATTTCAGTAAAAGCATAACACAATAACTCAAATGTGAAATACAAGTATTTTAACTTGGAGAATAAAAATGTGCCTGCTAATTGCAATTTCATTTCATAAATAATTTAGGCTAATCATTAATTTATTATTATTAGGCCTAATATTATAGTTAATACCCTACAATAATTAATCACTGTTTGTTTATTACCAGTATTAATATTAATCTTAGCATAGCCTACCTGGTTAGTGACTAGTTGACCCTGCACCAAGGGCCGGGTTCTTAGGGTTCTTCTTTTTGATTTTTTTTGTGTTGCTTTTTACTTGTAAGGAAATATTCCTCTGCTTGAGGGAAGTCAACTTCGCATCTAGGTTTTTCAGGCATTGATCAGCTACTTTTAAACTCTCCGGGTTGTCAATTTTATTTAAAATTGACTCAACACGTTGTCTTAGTAGAAGTTTGTCAGTAGGTCTCACCTTTGTAGGCAGAACAGTTTTAGATGACACTTCTGCCAATATTGATTGTCTTTCCTCCAAACTTCTGACTTCTCCCACGTTTTCCCTGACTTCATCTTCTCGGGATTCATGACGCACAGTCTCATTAAGACCAAATTCTCTTTTAATATTATTCAGATCATTTTTTGTCAGTAAATGTATTCTTTTAAGCATGTCTGGTTTAAAAGTTGAACGAACTTCTTCAAGTATTGTGTCATAAGGAATTTTATTATTTATTTTTCCGGCGATATCTTGTCGTTCATTAAAGGTCAATTGTTTGTGGGCTAGGTCACGAGTGTGCCCTACATGAGTCTCGCAGTACTCTACTTCAATATTGCCGTTTTCAAAAAATGTTGCTTTCATTGCGGAAGGACAGAAACCATTTATTTTACAGGAACCCTGTATTTTTGTTTTCCTTTTCCTTATGCCATATATAAGCTTAGGATCAAAATATCCCGATCTATGACAACGATAATAAAGTTTGTTCTTACCAGATACAATCTTTTGAGCAGTTGTTTTTGTAAAAAAAACATTTTCCTTTTCTTCTGTCTTCTTTTTCCAAGTGTAGAAATCTGGCGCACTAGAAAAACTAAGAACAGAGGTTTTCAATATAATATTATGCTCTGCTAAGTAGTGTCCTTCTATATCATTACGTTTAAACACATTCCTGCAAACTGTGCAGGTTATCATAGGACTACGTCTAGGTCTACTTTTCGGTTTACTCTGACTCTCATCGGCGGTATACTCGTGCACTTCACGTAAGTGACGGTTCAGGACCCATTGTCTTGTATATTTTTTGTCGCACAATACGCATGTGAACATTTTAAACCTGAGACACAGACACACTAAACTAGAGAAACGAGACGTTTTGAGTTGGTTTGACACTGTCGGTCGACTCGACTGTCATCATAACTCATAACCAAACCATAACAAACAAAATATGCGGATGCCGCGAACGGCGCGAACACAACACAGCCGTTTCGGTTTCCAGACAGACGACAACAGCAGGACAGGAGCAGACCATGGAGCACACTCGTTTGGCAACGAGACGTTACCGGCAGACCACCACCGCCTGCCACCACGCCGTGCAGAACGCATCATAAGTTTTACCGTGCATAGCGCATAGCCGAACTGTTCGTGGGAAATTGTTATCTCTATCACTGTCGCTGTCATTAAGTTTCGTTTGTAGGTTAAATTTAAATTAATTTAACTGTCATAACCTAACCAAACTTGCTGATAATGAAAATATCGAATGAAGGTTTACTAATAACAAAAATAGTTCTGTTCATAGAATAAAATTATAAATGTCTCAAAATCAATTATATAATATTTTAATTATAAAATTAAACCATCATAACCTAAACAAACCAACCAACCTTGCTGATGATGAAAAAAATCGAATAAAAAAGTTAATGCCTACGGTAAGTTTCGAACCTGCTACCTTCGAATAATCAGCCCGGTGCGCTATCCAGCATCCACTACACCACCGAGACCGATGGCTGTAAGTCATATAGGTTATATTTTCTTCGATCGTATTGTTGCGGTAATGGTGTTCGTTCGAGCGGTGGTGGGCGGTGGCGGTCTGTCGGGAAGGGTTTCTGTTTGGCACGGCGCCCACGGCGGCGCGGTGGCGGGTGGTTGTTGGTGTTAAGATCGGAAAGGGAGAGCTTCGTGAAAGAAAGACAGACCAGACAAAAAAAGTGACAGTCACTCGCCAAACGACATCCAGAAATGGGTTTTAATTTTGATTAGGTTTACACAATCGACACAATACAGTATCTTTTTTTGTTTGTGGGTTTGTTGGGATAGCAAAAACTAACAGTATTTTTCTCAATCGAAAGGTTACAATACAATTATCTTAGTTGCAGGTGAGTTATGTTATATTTAATAGTCAAAGGTTATATACAAATCATAAGGTTTCAGGCCTAGGCCTATCAATAATGAAACTTTATTAGGCTACCCTATCCACCTTTAGCCTAACTTATCAGTTACCTTAGGCTAAGTTACTATGGAACCAAACAGACAACCAAATAACCAATCTCCCTGTACTACGTTGTCGTTGTAGCAACTTATGAAATAAAAGTTAGTGTAGGCCTAGGCCTAGTAGAATGTACTGTAAGAGCTACGATAGAGTGAGTTGCATTGTAAATAATACCCCGTTTGTAACCAAATCATGAACTGTAAATACAATTATAGATCTAATAATAAACCTAGCAATTTTTATAAGTTACTTAACTTGTTTACGACAGCAAACTCAATGTATCATATACTAGGCCTAAATAGTCACAAAAACTAATGGTGAAAACAGAACATTAGACTGTAGCACACTCACACAACCTCACAATTAAGTAAGTGGCTCAGGCGATTTTCTTTTTTAATACAAGTTTTGCAGCAGCAGGTCAATGAGTGCTACATCATCTAAAAAGTCAATAATAAAGAATCCGGCGTAAGTTAATCGGGCACAGTTTTGTGGAGAACCTGCAATAAGTTATACCTATTAGGCCTATTGGAAGAAATTTTCATTAAGTATGTAACTTATAAAAATTGATTAAGTTAGGCCTAACTTAATACATTTTAATCGACATAAATAACTTAACTTATTGGATTTAAATATGATTAGGCCTATCTGTTATGGGTCTTAACAAGGGGAAGGCCTTTGCCACTCTTTTTTACGGTGCACTGCGGCTTTTAGGTTGAGTTGGTTTAGTTTATGTTGATGTGTTTTTATGATGTTCATTCGATAAATAGGATCTATTTTAGGCTACTAACTTATTTACAAAATTTATCCTGACTCAAAAAAAAGTTCCCAAATATGCCTAGGCCTACAAAGTTTCTTTTTATAAGGGCCTAATTTTATATAACTTTAGTTAAATTAATCTCTTAAAAAAATATAGTATTTTAACTTAACTAATATTAATTACTGTTGTAACTAGGCTAACATTAACCCTACGTTGGTGACACCACGGAATTTTCCTCCGGGCGCAATTGTTTTTATAAAAAAAATAGTGATATTTCCAGCTGGCAGTTTTAGGAGTAAACAGTAGGCCTACCTTAAGTGCATCTTTCTAGGAACCGATTGAACATTATTTTGTTCATACACCTCCCCCGCAAAACGCCTATTAATCAACAACAAGGGAGCCTGGCTCTGTGAGTCACCGATAGTGTTGTTGTTTTTGTTTGCTATCTATATATTTTTTTTCATTTCATGTGCAATTATTGATTGCCTACATGGTTTGATAAGTTTTTGTTGAAATATAGGTAGCCTATGTTTAAAAAACATTGGTTGTCTAACTTTTTCAACACCCGGGAAAAATTCTGTGTGTCACCGATCGTGTTTTAAAATCAAATTGATGAAGGGTTTAAATTATCTTCAGCTTATTCATAAGGTTGTCAAATTATACTGACTCTGTTTGAATTGTTTTTACCTACAACCGGTTTTTTAACTAGCCTTTTCAGTTCACCTTTTACCTTTTTACCTAGATTGCCAGGGGCGGCTACAGAGGGTAGGCCCTGGCCTAGCCAAAATTTTGGTAGGCCTAGATATTTCAAAATTATAAATAAATATAGAAATTTAATTAGGCTATATGAAAATAAAGGGAAAGCATTCAAACTAAATATATTGTATTTAAATTTTAAAATTCCCCCTTTTTGCGGGAAAGCCCTTCAAACCTTTTGTCCCCCAATCAAACTCTTTCTTGGTCCTTGTCAGGCCTACCCATATTCCTGGAGCCGCCCCTGCTATGTTCTCTTCACCGTAGTCATTGAGACCAGGGAATCGTCATTCTTCTTTTGATGTGTGTGTGTGTATTAGTGTAGGTTGTGAGCAGTTTAAGGGCTTAATCTATTGTAAAGGGTGTCCCAGTAAGAACGCCGGATTTGAGGAGCGTCTTATCCTTATCTGTATTTCAATAGGAATTCCCAAATTATCAGCGATGTTACCCGTATTAGGTCCCATTTGTAGTCATGAATCGCTACACGACGTAACAACGCGTGGTCATAGTTAAAGTGCACTACAAGTACGGAAGCTGCGCACTATTTACGGCCGGGACAATGCACCAAATGATCCATCTGTCCGAAGATTGGTTTATAAGTTCGAATAAATTGGCTCAGTTCTATACTGGGGATATTTAAAGTCGCTTGTTTTCGCCAATAACCCTCAAACAATCGGGAAATGATTCGTGCCATTAATGGAATTCAACAGGAAGTGTGTGAAAAAGTGATGGAAAACTTTGTCAAGAGATGTCGAGCTTGTCAGTATTCAGCAGGTTGGCACTTACAAGACATAATACTCAATTACTAATCGGAGATATTATGCTTTAAGATTCATGTTTCAAATTGTAAATTTAGCGAGAAAATATATGGTTTGTTAACATTTCAAATCCGGCGTTCTTATTGGGACACCCTTTAGATACTATGATCTACAAAAAATTCATTTAGGTTCTAATATGGTTTGTTTAGCAATTATTGTTATTAGTTTTTTTCAAGAAAGTTTTGTAATTTTTGATTAGTTTTAAATTCTCTGGCAACATATTAAATAACTTTGATCCCATTTTTTGGGAATTCTTACTAGTTTTGGGGAGTCTGTGCTGTTGAATGGTGTAGTTAAGTTTCGAGTTTCTTAGATTAAGTTTGTGACAATGACATTAATTTCTGACTTTGGGGATGCTGAGTGTCAAAATTTTGATGGTTTCCAGAATGTAGAGGGATGGTAGGGTGAGGATTTCATTAAATATGAAGAAAAGTTTGCAAAGTTTGTTATACTGAATCTGTTCTATTGTTCTTATGGCCCTCTTTTGTATCGTAAGTAGCCTACCTAGCTTTTGTCTGAGATTGTCAGTAGCCGAGCCCCACGCTATGATGTCAAATCACAAATGGCTTTAAAATAGGGAAAAATATGCTATTTTTGCAGTTTTCTTGTCTGTTATAGAGCGTATTCTTCTTATCAGCGTAAAGATACTGACGACAGATTATTTTCTAGATGTTCAATATGTTTTTGCCTCATATTTTTTTCCTTCAAGTTTTTATCCAAGATGATCCCTACGAATTTTGTTTCTGATACAGTTGTGATTGATGTTGAGCTTGTAGTCTGAAGGTTAGTCTGGGTTTTGTTGAGAAGTTTTTATTGACTGTTTTAGTTTCATTTAGGCCTATAATGAGGTTTAGTGAGGAACATACTTGTGAAGCTAGTTTTTTTTGTTTCAGTATTATTAAGGTATTGTAGATACCTACTAGGTAGAGAATAGTGGTATCATTCGCAAACATTATGCATGTTTATTCTGTTTACATGTAGTCCGGGAAGCTGTTGATACAGATGTCCTTGGACGGAGCCTTGAGGGATTCCTCGTTCCGTGAGTTTTGTGGATGATTTAATTTTTGTTTTGATGCTATTTTTGTAGTGGATTACTTCAACTTGTTGATTTTGGTCTGCAAAATAATTTTTAATCCAGTTTAGGAATTTTCCTGTAATATTTAATTGCTCTAGCTTATTTATTAGAATATTTCCGTACAGAAAAATTCCAGAGGCATGTTGTTTGTTTTCCCAGAAGGAGGTGATTGTTTCGCAAAGTTTGATAAGAGTGATGTTGATGGACTTGTTCTTCCAGGAGCCGTTTTGTTGTTGTGAGAGTGTTTATAGTTTATGTAAGTGTTCCATAATTTGAATGTAGATAATCTTCTCAAGATGCTTGGAGAATATTGGTAACACTGAGATGGGTCGTTAATTTTCCATCTGAGAGCTGTCACCTTTCTTGTGTTTAGGGTAGACTGTAGCCAATTTCATTCTGTTTGGTACTATTGCTTGGTCTATTGAAGAGTTAATGATGTGGAGTAGAGGAAAACCAATTTCTTCTTGACAATTTTTAATTACTTTATTTGAGATTTCATCGAATCTAGATTTGGTGGTAGTCTGAAGGTTGATATCTCAAACTGGGACGAATGGCGTCGTCCTGTAATCCAGCTACTAGGAGGTCACGAATTGTGGATATTTATAGGATGCACTGTGGATGCGATACTCCCTGGTGTGGATTAACGTCCACACGAGTGAATACTACGACTATCCGCAGTACTATCCTGATAATTAGACCAATTCGTATATACCTAGGTAAAAATGTGGTTCGGATTCCACTATAAACTGTAGGTCCCTTAGTTGCCATTAGCTGTATGGGCTATAAATTAGCAATGTCAAAGGAGTAAGTGTTTAATGTCTATGGAATAAGTGTCGGCCTTAGTCACTAACAAGACTAAAAGATCGCACCACTCATCCTACACTCTTCTCCATTCATACTAGGCTTAAAATTACCTACTTTGTATGGTCGCCATTTAATAAGTAAGTACGGTATTAAAGTATTAAAGTTTTTTGTGTTGTTGTTTGTAAGTCCATGAAGTTGCCCCCCCCCCCCCCCCACTTCATGATAGAGAACAGATTCGTGGAACAGAACATTGTTGTTTGTTGTGGAGTATTCACTGACCATTGATACCATTTTGAAAGATTGCTCAAGTATTAGGCCTACTACTGGTGGGGGGGGGGCTAATTTCAGTGAAGTTGGCCCCCACAGTTTTTTTCATTATAGCTCCTGAACCGTAAGAGCACTAACGATGGGAGTTGAAGCTTCTATAAGCACTAACTTTAAAAACGGTACCAACGGTTAGTGCTAGTAAGTGGTTCAATTCCCATCGTTAGTGCTCTTATGGTCCAGGAGCTATAACGAAAAATCTGGGGGGCCACGGAAGTTAGCCTCCCCTCAGTTAATAAGAACCTGCGCAGAAACTAAAAGATCACGTGGTTCGTGCTGGTGAATATGGCGTATCCTCCAAACCTGTGTGGCGCGAAAAGGCGCCAGGGTCCTTTTGTTTCTGGGATGTCTACAACTAACTTCTGTGAAGTTGGCCTACCCCACAGTTTTTTTAGTTATAGCTCCTGAACCGTAAGAGCACTAACCGTTGGTACCGTTTTGAAAGTTAGTGATCACACAATACTACTGGGGGCATCATTACTACCCCCACATATTACTACACCACAGTTTTTAGTTATAGCTCCTGAACCGTAAGAGCACTAGATACACGTTTTGTCGTTCGTTAGTTTTTCTGGGGAGGGCAACTTCACGGACCTGTTGTTTGTTGCCGGTTGATTGGTAGTAGGTTTGTTTTGGTTTTTTTAAGGTATTGTTTCCTTGAAAGATAAAATAGTTTTGAGGGTGTTGCGAATCAAAAATGGATCGTCCGAGAGAGTATTAACTGTTTTTAAAGAGAGTGCTCTATCATTTTCATCAGGTCTGCTTGTATTTCTTTATTAATAATTATATTCCATATTTCCTTCATTTGGTTGCTAGATTCTCTTAAAATTCAGTTCTTACAGTTGAAAAGATTCACTTTACAGTATTATTTACTTACTTATGAGCATTGTTTTGTTAATTTACAGTATAAGTTTGGACCAATGAGGTTCGAGGATTGAGAGAAGTAAAAAATTGTAATGCTTTGAACATCAACTTATCAGCTGTTAAGTACATGCTGTACAGCTATTATACATGCTATATTAGCTAAATATATTTTTTTATCCAATTGCAAAATGATCTAAAGCTTAATCCACAAAACTTAAATACAGTACACCCTCTCTGGTTCGGCCACCTAGGGTGCTGTCAAGCCCCTAAATAGGCTTTCACTTTGCATGGTAGTTCCCATATTAACTACCAAATCACCGGACAAATCGGATGTACTATTAAAGGTTGTTAATAGGTAGCCTACCAAAGGTTAGAAATAAACAAATTACATTATTTTGATATTCATGTAACACATAAGACCTGAGTTACCAAAATAAAGCTTTTGACATTTCTATATTGAATTGTCATTTTGTTTCCACTCTCAGATACATTTCTTCAACACTGGACTGATTTGCCCCTTTCTAGACGCTCCAGAATGTCATTATTTGTTTCATTGTCAAAAAAATGTGTTTGTTTTTTCACTCATTTTATAATTGACATTTTTCTAACAATAAACCCTTACACAGAACTCTCATTTACTTTCAATGTTCACACTCAAAAACATTCTAATACTGTTGAGAAAAAAAAAACATACACTTACGAAATCACCAAAACGCATTGTTTAACACACTGTTTACCATAGGTGCAACCGATCGAGTGTAGAAGCACCCATCACCTAAACTGACATAGGCCTAACTTTGTTTAGTTTACTTCTACGTCTGAAAATTAAACATTCAAGTTGAATCCTGTTTAAGGTAATTCGCCTGAGACTATGTGTTTCATCCTCCTGAGACCAACAGACCAACCGGCCAAACTTCTATCACACCAATCAAAGTCGAATTAGAGAAAGTCTACTGCATTAAATTGTGAAAAGTACAAATAGCTTACTTGACTATAACTGCAGAATTTTAACTTGCCAAAAAAATAATATGTTGTTTTATTGTTTTTTTAGGGTGACACGCAGAAACTTATAAGGATTAACTATGAACAAATACTTTATCACGTAAAATAACAAGTGCCAGTTTTTATAACATGAACGCCACAAAGAAAAAAGAAACAATTCTGTGTCATAAAACAAATTCCCGCAAAAATGAATCAAACCAACCTAGAGCTAATATTGAAGATTTGCCTGAAGAAATGCTTGAAATTATTGCTGGATTCTTATCATGTAAGGATTTAAACAGTTGTTTTAATGTATGCAAAAAATGGAGACGGATACTTAACAGTGACAAATTTTGGAAAAAATGCTGCAAGTATCCAGAAAAATACTTTAAATTGTCATCCGTTCAAGTCAGTAAAATACCTGCTTTCATAGATGCTTGCAAATGGAGGAAACATTGGCTTTTACAAAAACGTATCTGGAAAAATTGGAGTAGTGGTACATTCACAACTGACACATTTGCAGGAGAACTCGGTCATATGTCAATGGACTCTGTTGATGAACATGGTAATCATTGGCTATTCTGTTATGGGTCAAATGAGATAAATGTATGGAATATTACTAATGAACCTTTTCTACACTCTAATTATGAACAGCAACATTTTTTTGCTTTGTGGCCTTTGCAAGATAAAGTTTTAACGTGTCGTTCCAATTATGTAAAAGTTTTCAACTTCAAGCACCCAGAAAACGAGTTGCAGCTAAGTTACAGATTCAAGTTTGATAGAAAGAACATACTTCCAGAAAATGAAAAGGTCTCTAATGACGACTATGTCAGTGGTGTTCGATATATTTTAGTGGATGACAGATTTCTTATTGGATACCAGGAAAATGTAAGTGACATTGCAACAGCGTGTATGTATATATGGGACATTAACACAAAAAAAGTTAGAAATCAAAGTATCTATCAAGAATCTTTTGTGAGGTTTGTCCAACAAACCAGAGGAAGCAATGTGCTGGATCATTTTAATGGTGGAATGGTTCTATTTGATGGAGACAATGGCAAGTTTTTAGTCAATTTGATTGATGATAGACATAAACTGTGCCATATAAGCTTGTTTAGTCTTGTTGAAATGAAGTTTGTGAAGGTAGTAGCTCAGTTTGAGAGTAGAACAGCATGGTGTCTTATGAAAGGTGACATTGTTGTCACATTCCACATTGTCTGCGAGAACAAATCTCAGATATCCGTGTTTAATCTTAACACTGGCCTTCTCGCCAAGTTATACTTCCCATTCGAACGGAACCCCATACTCAATAATGAGCTAAGGTTTGACTGTAACAAAGTAATTTTAAAAGTAAGAAATAAAATAACTGTACTGACCTTAACTGATTCGGTCCATGTAAAGGAAAATAGCTTTGAACTCGATGAAAGCAACAAAAACGGTTGTATTTTAAAATATTTTGATCCCAAATTCTTGCTGTTGTATGACTGTTCTATTCTTTCTTCTGGAAATTTGACTGTGTGGGATATTGATTCAGGAATCAAACTGTGGGGGTTGCGTAAGTTGTCTCATTTGGTATTGTACAAACCGATCATAAATACTTTTGAGTACCCCGGAAGACTTCTTGTTCGCTTTTGTGATGAAAGCAATTTTAGAATTTTGAAGTTTGATGCCTGAGTAGTACAGCATTACCTACTTAAGTTAACATATGTACCTGAAACACCCAGTTTTGTAAAACGTTTTTACTATGTTTGATTAAAAATCTGTGTTTGAGCTAATTTAGTTGATATAGGTAGGGCTTTTAACCATTCAAAACTATATATATATTTGTTTTAAAATGAAGTAGAATTTTCATCTGCTGGAATCAGTAAACAAAATTTTAGTAGTTTGGGAGCATACCTACTGTCTAAAGATCAGACCTTAAAGTTCCAAGGTTACATATTACAGTTAGCCATACTCATTAATCTAAGCAACCAAATGCTTAGAACCAAGGGGGGGAAATTGGGGTACCTAGCCAAAAAAGATTCTTTGGACATCTAAACATATACGGTTATCTATAACGTAACTCTACGGGACATGCTCTCACTATATCCTATGATTGTATTGTTGGTACGTTATATTTTTACACACTACCTAGATAAATCACAAGATGTTATAACTTTATATAATAGTTTTAGTATTTTGATTTGTTTAAATTATTGTCAATTGTATAACTGTATAAAACTGTAAATAAATAATGCAATTTTCAAATATTTGTGTATCATGACACAATTTGTCAACAATCTAGTTGAGATGTTTTATTTTTTCTATCTTACCCACCTGAAGCGGTGTTCTGTGAAGAGAATGTCACTAGAGTTCCTTGGATGAGTTCATCTACATCCAAGGTTATTTCATCACTTAACACATCTTGGATTGTTTCACCTTGAAACAAAAAGTCCTGGTTTGATAAACAGAATTTTGGATATTACTTGACACTATATGTAATTTTGATGAAAATTTCAGAACAATAAGCATCTTATTTTAAAACATTTTTGAATTGCAACAAATTTGGCTAGTTTATCAGCAAATTTCACTGTCTTATTTTTGTGTCACTGTGTGAACGTGAGCAGAATAAGATAGAGAAATATTCTGTGGTTGGGGTATAAGATTGATCCAAACTATGCACTGAGACTAAATGAACATGCATACTACGAGTAGTTCTCTAATTTACAAATGGAGGTCCCAAACATGTAAAGACTTTAATGTTCAAATTGTGTGCCACTTGTACAAACAACTTGCATGGTAAAGTTTTATTGCAGAAACATAATAATTGGTAATGTTTTGTTCCACTAAAGCCTTCAACTCATTTTCATTACATGAGTCTACTAATACTATTGGATTATTTTGTATGAGATGGACCTGTGCGCAAATTGCGTGTCCTATTAGGGTCTAAGACTAAGACTAGATTTCAAGATAAAACAAATAATGCAATACCCTTTTACTGTTCACAAAGATTATGTTTGTTTGAGACAGTTATTAGGCAAATAAAACAACCTATTTACAGTAAACATGTTGCTTTTAGATCTACACCTTTAAGAGTGGTTTACCTACCTAAATCAGGCTGCAATATTACTTACAGTCACAACAAACCGAGCGTGTGTCGCGGGACTGCGGTGGGGAGCCAGTGGCCCACGGACAGTCAGTGTTACAAAACTAAGATTAGCGTCTTTTCATTTTTAAATAAACAAGAATTTAGAACCATAACAAGATTATTCTGTCAAAATAACCTGAGATACAGCAATCAATTAATATGAGAGAAAACTCATGATTAATATGATCAAAATCATACAATTTCAAATTAATATCCAAAACGTTACCTTTTTGAGAATGATTTCTATTCATGTTTGGAAACAGGGTTACTGTACTTAATTTAGCAAAATGTTAAATCTATCCCAAACATAATTACCTCCATGTAGGTGGTACTTAAATATTTTTATCTTGTAAAGTAGTACGCCTGGTAAAAATGTTGAGAAACCAATTTATAGGACCAATCATTAAAAATAGTTTTCTTACATACTGACTGAACTGCCAATGATTGCGCACATGTAAATTTTAATATGTTAAATCTATCTACATTTTAATAAATTTTTAGCCTCTGTAATACGATTATAATTTGAATATTATCAAAAAGTATTTACCTTCTGGTTGACTGTTGTTTCTATAAATAAGTGCACCAGTTAGTGAAACAACTGAAGATCTCTTGAACAGGGGCTCGGCTAATATTGCTGAAAATAACGCAAGTTTAGTTAGCACTAGTTATAATCTTGCTCTCTGTTTTATTTATCATTTAGTGATGTAATTGGGATAAATAAACATATATCATTTCATTTCATTCCCATAGCTGCGTGTGGTGCCAATCCGCTCATATCCGTTTTCATTTTCCTCAAGTAGACAAAGTCGCATTACTGTCAATTGTTTGTGAAGGGGAGATGTTGACTTAATGATTCTCTTTTAGGTGTATTTAATGGTTGGTGCTTTACTACCACTATTATATATATATTATACACATTTTACAAACAATTATCCTTAAATGTAATTGTTATTGTTTGGTGAAATTGCGTAGATTAATGCATACAAGGAGAAGTGTATTTGTAGCTTACCTACCACCACGGCCCTAGCATACCCGGCTATGTCCCCCATCACGTTAACCACAGCACCATTGTGGTGGGGCTCCGTCCACTCAGCACCTTTGGAGCTCCGTGGGCGAAATACCACAACAATACTGTGGTACCTCAGTTGGGACTCTGACTCCCCGCCACTGGTCTGACGGAGTCGCAATCTTACGTCATTTACTGTTCTGAAACAAAAGAAATTCTGAAAAAAACTGATTCAGCAAACTAACACATACTTTCTCCCATTAACTTGACACTAAAATTAAACATTCTACAACTTTTATGATTACAAAATCACTTTTGAAATCCTATGGGAAAAATCATAGAAATTGCATTAACGATCAAACATTATATTTTACAGCGATAGGGGTTGTGTCATTTTTTTCATGGCTAGAAGGTCTATGGGCTAGTGTTAGTATGGCAACAGCAGGTAGTAGGGAACCCGAATCTCAACAATCTCACGAGGCCCTGACGTTCCCAATCTGACCCCTCCCAGACTCAGTGATTATGTGTGTACTAACCCTCCGTACTTCACAACCATTAAGTTCTGTTGTAAGAAAGACTTAGTAAACCAAAAGTATGGCTTTTATTCATTCAAAATTACAACCATGTTTTAGTTAAGAACAAATACAATATTTACAAACAAATCAAATAATAAATATTATCAGGTGATAATGTTCACATCACCACATTCTCCCCCACTAGTTTTCAAGGTAGGTATAGCATATGTAATCCTTTAGATATGACGGAGGCTTGACATTACTCTTTGGACGTAGTTCCCCCACAGCCGTCTCTGAAGTTGGGGTCTGAGATACCGTTTGTTGAGTTTCATTTTGAACTTCATTGGGGTAAATGTCTGAATTTATATTTTCAACAATCTCTCAGTAGTGTTGTCTTCATGAGGTAGATCACCAGGAGGTAGGCCAGCGGGTGCAAGATGTCTCAGGGATACTTGTGATTCTGACCCATCTCTTCTTCTGACGAGAGCGTACTGTGGATTTGATTCCAAAAGTTGAACTGGCTCCACAAGGTCATCATATTTATTAGATCTTACAAACTTTCTAAGCAGGACAGGACCAGGAGCGGATAGCCAAGATGGTAAGGAGTCTCCATTGGTAGATCTTCTGCTATGTATAAAGAATCTTTCGTGCGGTGTGCAGTTTGTCGCAGTGCATAAAAGAGATCTGACTGAGTGAAGTGCCTCCTGTAATACTTCTTCCCATGCAGCAACTGGCAGGTTGTTGTTTTTCAAAGCTAGTAGGATGGTTCGCCATATTGTTCCATTGAAGCGTTCAATCTGAGAGTTCCCTCTAGGGTTATAAGGTGTCGTATGACTTGTAGCTACTCCGTACTTGTGAAGAAAGTCCGTCAGCTCTCGCGACATGAAAGATGAACCTCTATCTGAATGTACAAAGGACGGGGCTCCAAACATAAAAAATAGATCTGAAAAACATCTGATAACTGTTGCTGAACTAATGTCCTTACAGGGGTAAGCAAATACAAAACGAGAATACTCGTCCACCATGGTTAAAAGGTAACGGTTTCTGGTTGTTGATGGAAGAGGGCCCTTAAAGTCAATATTTAGACGTTCGAAGGGAGTGGTTGCCTTTATCAATTTGCCTTGGAATTGGTGAAATCTTGGCTTCACTTCTGCACATGTTTGACAAGCTGACGTCATCCTTTTTACATCATCCAGAGTGTAGTTTAGATTTTTAGTTTTAATCCAATGAAACATTCGAGTGACTCCCGGATGGCAGAGAGATTTGTGTAATTCAAACAACTTAGCATTGTCCCAGCGAACCGCACATGCCCGAGAGAGCGTATCTGCTTTTACATTCTCCCTACCAGGTCGGTACACTATTTCATATTGATAAGGTGTTAGCTCTAGTCGCCATCTCATAACTTTATCGTTCTTGATTTTGCTTGTATGCCTCTTGTCAAAGATAGATGATAAAGCTTGCTGATCCGTGTATAATCTGAAGTCTCTTCCGATAAGAAATGATTTCCATTTTCGAAGGGCTTCGACAATGGCAACGGCTTCTTTTTCAACAGCTGAATACAGCTTCTCAGATTTGTTTAGAGTCCGTGAGAAAAAAGCAATTGGCCGATTATCTTGACTCAAAGTTGCTGCCACGGCTATGTCAGATGCGTCAGTCTCCACTACCAGTGGCTCTTGCCCATTCCTAGGAGTAATTACTGAGTTTGCAATGTCAAGTTTGAGGGCTTCAAAATCTGCAACCGCTTCCTGTGACAAAGGAAAAGAATTGACTTGTGTCAGGTTTCTTATTTTATCAGAAAACCGATGTATCCATTTTGAATAGTGAGCGAAAAATCCTAGGACTCGCTTTAGTGAAACTTGGTCTTTGGGCACAGGAAGTGACAGTAGAGATTCTAGCCGATCTGGATCAGGTCGAATAGAGTTATGGGAAACTAAATGTCCCTACAAGGTTATTGAAGACTGGTTGAACTTGCTCTTTTCGTTGTTGATTACAAGTCCATACTTAGTTACAGCATCTAAAAATGTTCTTAGATTCTCATCATGATCCTTTTGATCCTTTCCACATACGGTCAAATCATCCAGATAGGCATACACTCCATTCAGTTTTTCTTTTCTAATGATTTGGTCCATGGTCTTTTGAAAACATGCCACCCCGTTGGTTACGCCAAATGGGATTCTTCTGAATTGAAAAAGACGACCAGCAGCCTCAAAAGCAGTGTACTTCTTCTCTTCGTCAGAAATTGATATTTGATAGTATGCTTGCTTTAGATCAATGGCACTAAAAACCTTGTTCGTCGCTACAGTGGATACTAGATCATCTATGTTTGGTAAGGGATAGGCGTCTAACAGAGTAAATTTGTTTATCGTTTGCGAATAGTCCACACACAGTCGCTTCTTCCCTTTGTCGTTTGTAACAACCAACACTTGTGCACGCCAAGGTGACGAACTAGGTTCAATGATCTCCTCAGTCTGTAGTCTTTCCATTTCTTGTTTTATAAATTGCATATCTTCATCTGAGTAACGTCGTGATTTTGTGGCTATTGGCTTACAATCTGGAGTTAAATTGCAGAATAGTTTGGGTGGTTCAACTTTGGCACAGGAGCACACCAACAGAGGAGGTTTCTTACCTCCAAACCAAACCTGTATATTTGAGTGGAGTTTCATGATATCATGTCCGATAAGCACGTCAGTACAAAGATCTTCAAGAACAGTCAACTTAAAATTGTTGTAATTGTGATTCAACAGATTTAGGTTGATTTTAACAAACCCGTGGACGTTTGATTTCATATTAGAAGCAGCTAGTGATACTTGTCCACTTTCATTATACATTTTAATTTTGTTTAACTGAACAAACTTCAAGTTTACAAAGCTTGATGTACTCCCGGTGTCTATTAAGCAATTTGCTTTCAGGCCATTCACTTTAGCTTCAACTGTAGAGTCCTTCAATACAGATGTATTATGTGTAGTTGCTATTAGTGCAGCTGATGTAGTAGACGTCTTCTGTTTTACTTTAAAATGTTGAGTTGGATTACTTTTACAGACTCTCGCATAATGCCCTGTCTTGTTACATTTCCCACAAGTTGCTTCTCTGGCTGGACAGCGATCTCTAGAGTGTCTATCATGCCCACAAAAATAACACTTGCCATCAACATTTTTAATAGCGGAAACAGTCGCTTCTTCCTT